AGACGATTATATATCTGGAAAATTCAAGAAAATCAATTGAGGCTGTACATGGTGTTTCACACCTGTAAACCCAGCACTTTGGGAGGTTGAGGTGGGTAAATTACTTAAGCTTAGGAGTTGGAGATCAGCCTGGGCAACATGGTGAAACTCTGTCTCTATAAAAAATACAAAAGTTAGCCAGATATGGTGGCATATGCCTATAGGCCAAAAGGCTGTGGTGGAAGGATTGCTTGAGCCTAGGAGGCAGAGGTTGCACTGAGCCAAGATTGCACCACTGCATTCCAGCTTGGGTGACAAAACCAGACCCTGCAAAAGAAAAAAAGAAAGAGAGGGGAGGGGAGGGGAAGGGAGGGGAAGGGAGGGGAGGGGAGAGAGAGAAAAAAAGAAGAAAGACAATGAACAAAAGGTTCACATGCTTTAATATAGCAAGATGGTTGCATACAATATTGAGTCTCCATTTACCATAGCACCAACAACAAAAATAAAAAACACTTAGAATATGCAAGAGCTAGACAAAAACTTTAAGATGCTCTTTTTTTTTCTTTTTTTGAGACCAAGTCTTGCTCTGTCATACAGGATGGAGTACAGTGGTGGCGTGATCTCAGCTCACTGAAATGTCTGCCTCCTGGGTTCAAGTGATTCTCCTGCCTCAGCTACCTCAGTATCTGGGATTACAGGCAGCTGCCACCATGCCCACCTAATAATTGTATTTTTAGTAGAAACAGGGTTTCACCATGTTGACCAGGTTGGTCTCGAATTCCTGACCTCAGGTGATTTGCCCACTTCAGCCTCCTAAAGTAGCTGCAAGGATTACAGGTATGAGTCACCATGCCTGGACCTATAGCTGTTTTATGCATTTATTTAAACATATAAAAATTAAAATTTTGTGCATATGTGGTCACGCATGCACATGCACACACACACAAAAAAACCTGAACAAAAAAAAGAGATGTATACTTGGCCTGGGTGACAACGTGAAACTCTGTCTCAAAAAAAAAAAAAAAAAAAGATATACCATATTCTTGGGTAGGAAGACTATATTCGTGAAGATAAGCTAGGTTTTACTGTTTTAGCAAAACCCACAAGCCTCAGTGCCTTAAAACAACAAACAGTTTACTTGTTGCTCATACTATGAATCCATCATGGCTTGGCAGGAAGTGAACTTCACTGTATTCTCTCAGCGCCATGTCTAAAGGAACAGCCATCAGCTTGAACATTATGGGTTATTATGCCAGAGGAAAAGTAAACTCTGTGGGTCATCAAATGAGCTGACAAGCTCAGCACAGAAATAACATATCAATTCTGCTCACATCTCATTGACAAATGCTGGCAAATAGCACCAACAACGACCTCAAAGACTCAGCATCATAAAAATAAAACTAAAATAACAGAGAATGGAAGTGACTTATCAATAGGCAGATCAATAGAAAATAATAGCCAGACATGGTGGCTCCCACCTGTAATCCCAGGACTTTGGGAGGCTGAGGCGGGTGGATCACCTGAGGTCAGGAGTTTGAGACCAGCCTGGCCAACATGGTGAAACTCCATCTCTACTAAAAATATACAAATTAGCTGGATGTAGTGGCACATATCTGTAATCCCAGCTACTCAGGAGGCTGAAGCCAGGAGAATCGCTTGAACTTGGAAGGCGAAGGTTGCAGTGAGCCAAGATCACGCCACTGCACTCTATGCTGGGCGAAAGAGGGAGACTCCATTAAAAAAAAAAAAAAATCCCCAAAATAATAGGTTGGTAACCTCAAATGCAAATGTTAAGAATGGCAGGAAAATTGTCACCTGCCCTAACCCATTTCTGATATTTGCAACTTTTAAAAATCAGGACCAGGACCTGCTGCCTCCAGGTCACCCCAGCAGCAAATTTGCTGTGGCCATACCTCCTACATAATCTGCCATCTCCCTTTGTATTTACCTCTTTTTTTTTTTGAGATGGCTCGTTCTGTCGCCCCGACTGAAGTGCAGTGGCATGATGTCAGCTCACTGCAACCTGCGCACCCCGCCCCACCAGGTTCAAGCAATTCTCTCACCTCAGCCTCCTGAATAGCTGGGATTACAGGTGTGCCTCACCATACCTGGCTAACTTTTGTATTTTTAGTAGAGAAAGGGTTTCAACATGTTGGCCAGGTTGATCTTGAACTCCTGACTTCAAGTGATCCACCCACCTCAGCCTCCCAAAGTGCTGGGATTACATTCGTGAGCCACCTCGCCCAGCCTATTTACCTATTATTTATTTCTGGGTTCTGTGTAATCCCAACCAAAATATGTTTTGCACCATTTGACAGTGCGTTGAAGGCCTGACACCCCATATCACTAAATACCTCAGCACATATTTTCTCAAAACAGGGGCACTTTTAAGCAGTAGTAAAACCATCAAAATCAGGAGATTAGCCCAGCGCAATGGCTCATGACTGTAATCCCAGTACTTTGGGAGGCCGAGGTGGAAGCCTTGCTTGAGACCAGCCTGGGCAACATAACAGGACCCTGTCTCTACAGTTTGTTTGTTTGTTTGTTTGTTTTGTTTGTTAAGACAGAGTCTTACTCTGTCACCCAGGCTGGAGTGCAGTGGTAGGATCTCAGCTCACAGCAGACTCCGCCTCCCGGGTTCAAGTGATTCTCTCTGCCTCAGCCTCCTGAGTAGCTGGGATTATAGGCGTCTGCAACCATGCCCGGTTAATTTTTGTATTTTTAGTAGAGATGGGATTTCGCCATGTTGGCCAGGCTGGTCTGGAACTCCCGACCTCAGGTGGTCGACTGCCTTGGTCTCCCAAAGTGCTGGGATTACAACTGTGAGCCACTGTGCCTGGCCTCTACAGATAATTTTTAAAAATAGCCAGGTATGGTGCCTCTGTGGTCCCAGCTACTCTACACAGAAGGCTGAGGCAGGAGAATTGCCTGAGCTGAGCCTAGGAGATCAAGGCTTCAGTTAGCCGTGATGGCACCACTGCATTCCTGCATGGGTGGCAGAGTGAGACCCTGTCTCAAAAAAAAAAATCAGAAATTAAGATTGGCCTGATAATCCCATCTAATCCAGGGACTCTGTTGAAACTTCACAGATTGCCTCATCACGCTCCTCCCCGTGCCAGCATCCCAATCCGAGAGCACCGTTCACTCCCGTCCTATCTCTTTGGAGCTGTGTGGCTTTGAGCTTGAGACTCAAGTTCTCTGGGCAGGTTCCTCACCTCCTTTCATTCTAACCTGCAAGCCCCAGGCTAACCAGCACCTGCTGCTCGTAACAGCCCCCGCCTGAACTGCCTTTTTTTTTTTTTTTTTTTTTTGAAACAAAGGCACAGTCTTGCCTCACTGCAGCCTCTGCCTCCTGGGTTCAAGCAATTCTTCTGCCTCAGCCTCCTAAATAGCTGGGAGTACAGGTGTGCTTCACCATGCCTGGGTAATTTTTTGTACCATGCCTGGGTAATTTTTTGTATTATGCCTGGATAATTTTTTTTATTTTTTTTATTTTTTATTTTTATTTTATTTTATTTATTTATTTATTTATTTATTTATTTATTTATTTTTT